ATTATCAAAGACAGTTAAATATGCATAATCATAGTTATCTATCGTAAGAACCATCCACCCTTTTCCCTCAACCGCTACCTGTATGCCTAGCAAACATATCGAACGCACTCTCCTAAGGTCCGATTACTCCTAGTATCGAGGTAAAGTAAAAAATTAATTACCAAACCCAGCATTTCCGGATCTGAAAAGTTACTGTAGTAACATTTCAGTACCGAGATACATGTATACATAGCTACGGCACTAGAAACTCAAGAATTAAAACTGCTTAAAACTGCTGTACATATAAATTTTATCCTTTGTTGGTCTGTTTGGCATTCATCTTTTATCACATGCTGACATTATTCGTTAGATCGAGGTAAATTTCACGTTTGAGCTTGTGGATTGTGTTCGTTATAACGAGGATTTCGTTAAGTCGAGGTTCTGTTCCATACATTTTACTGTAATTTTGGCCGGGCTGAAGAAAATCGTTCGTTATACCGAGGACTTCGTTGTATAGGGGTTCGTTAAATCGAGGTTCCACTGTATTACACCATCTACCAAGAGAGGATAAAGGGGACAGAGAAGGCATCCCCCATACACACCCTATTCTATAGGTAATTCGTCTCGAGTTATTTTTAGAATCGGGATAAAGTTACCTCGCGCGCTGCGTGGATGTTTCGTGGAGGTTTCGCATGACTAAACGCCATGCAAAACATGTCGGGCGAAAGGCAATGAAAGCGAAAAGAGATCGAGAGCTTTTCTGAATATTAAAGCGAAATGAGTCGGCGCTCACCTGGGAAAAGGGAATCGCTCGACTCTTTGACAACCAGTGAAATCAGTTTAACTCGAAGTTATCGTAACCTCAGTGCTTACATAAAATGAGAAATTTCGCCGGTCTATTGAAACCAGTCGTTTGTACAATAAGGCAAGTAGCAGGTAATACGTCTTGTATGAATTCTTTAGCATGCGATATCCTTGGGAGCACGTTTCCTAAAGTTGAAATCTAACATACATTTGTGCCAGTAAAAATTTTACAGTACTCTTTCATCATTGCTGGTCCTAGCAATTTGTAGGACGTGTGTCACATATGAACCTAGTAAATGACTTAGTAGCCTTACNATAGGTAATTCGTCTCGAGTTATTTTTAGAATCGGGATAAAGTTACCTCGCGCGCTGCGTGGATGTTTCGTGGAGGTTTCGCATGACTAAACGCCATGCAAAACATGTCGGGCGAAAGGCAATGAAAGCGAAAAGAGATCGAGAGCTTTTCTGAATATTAAAGCGAAATGAGTCGGCGCTCACCTGGGAAAAGGGAATCGCTCGACTCTTTGACAACCAGTGAAATCAGTTTAACTCGAAGTTATCGTAACCTCAGTGCTTACATAAAATGAGAAATTTCGCCGGTCTATTGAAACCAGTCGTTTGTACAATAAGGCAAGTAGCAGGTAATACGTCTTGTATGAATTCTTTAGCATGCGATATCCTTGGGAGCACGTTTCCTAAAGTTGAAATCTAACATACATTTGTGCCAGTAAAAATTTTACAGTACTCTTTCATCATTGCTGGTCCTAGCAATTTGTAGGACGTGTGTCACATATGAACCTAGTAAATGACTTAGTAGCCTTACCATCAGTGTCTCTGACCTTATCATTATACAGTACTCTATCATCATTGCTGATCCTAAGCAGTATGTAGGACGCGTGTCGCACATAAACCGTAGTTTAGTAACAGTTGTTTTTTTATTCTTGGGTATGTCCTCTGCTTTAAATCCTTTAAGTTACAGTTCGTTTTTTTCTGTTGTTATTTAATTGTCATATAATATACTCCTCTACTATCGCTCTTGGTATTAGCCTGTGAACAGGCTCTCTGTTTGGGGAAAAAAATAGAAAGGAAAGGGAAGGGAAAGGGGGGGGGAGGAGAGAAGAGAGAGCCTGTAGACAAACATTTGAGGCCGCTATTCTGCCTCTTGTAAATATCTTGCCGATCATCTGTCAGTAAGATCGTTATCTGTCAATCAATTTCGCGCGTGAGTAACTCCTGGGAAAATTATTAAACGGGAAATGAGCGGTGTTTTGGTCCGTCCCAAAACAAAGTGAAATAGACCGCGAGCCTAATTGTCGATTTTGCAAAAAATCGTTGATCTCCGGTAAGATAGCCTGTGTACAGACGTCCCCTCTCCCTTAGGAAAAATCGGGAGAGGAGACGTCTGTGAATCGCCGACGATAATCGTGTTCCCGTTTCCCCGGAATGTTGGGGACAGCCTCTGATTGGTTGTAATGTTAATAGCATGACGCAAATAATTTCCGGTGTTGTGATTGGTGAAGGAACTTCAGAATAGATTCCCCGGGGAAAAGCTGTCAAAGCTCAGCCTTTGTGGACATTCATATTTGTTTACCGGTATTTGTATTTCGGCTCTCTCGAAAAGGTATGAGAAGTTAAGACCACCGATGTTTGCTGCACCGGTTGCGGGTGCGTCTGTCTGTACCGGTCGGTATTGTAAATAAAAGAGATGGCATACAAAACCCAACGTTAACAGCCAAGGCAGGTCAAGCGTACCCCCCAAAAATATGAAAAAATGAATCCGTTAGTCGTTCCGGTAACTGGTGTCAAATTTAAATCGGCATTCCTCTATGCGTAATGAGCAGTGAATATTTTAAGAGAACTTCTCTGCATTTGGTGAGATTGAAAGTCTTTGAATGGATTAAATGTCTTACAAGACATTTACATCAAATTCAGGGTAACGGAGATGGTAGAAATTTCGTAACTGAATCGCGTTTGAATTCACGGCTCATTACGCATGCAAGAATGCACACAGAGATGAATCTGAAATCTACAACTACCAACGGTTCAACTTTCGAATAATAAATACATTAGTGGGATCTTGGGAGGTACGCTTGACCTGGCTTGACTGTAATCAGAGATCTTATATCTGGATTTTGGACGGACATTGCGCAAACATTTGAATCCTCAAGATTTCCCCTTGAGCAAGGAGAAAGCTTTTCCTATTTAAGCTGCTTAACTTGTGCGCGACGGGCCGTTCGTCTTACTAGTTCAGTTTCTAATTTAACAAGCCCCTGCAATGAGCGAACTTGGAATGCGAAAGGTACAGATACTATCATGGCTTCTCCAGAACGTGAACCTCTAAAGACAAGTACAAAGAGATCAGCAGCGCTTCGATCGCCGACAGGAATTACACCTTTGGGTATTTATCCCGTATTTATAGCAATAAAAGGGGACGGTACCTCACCCAAAATACTGCTTGTTCCCATAAGTTTTTTCCTCTGTTGAGTAGATTATGCTCTGGAAGGTTCTACATATTCACTGAGTAAATGTGATTTTAGCCGCTTGTTTCACACTGAGAGGTCATGGCATACATATCGATTTACTGTGGTTTTTGTCTCTGGTCGGCAGGATTTGCCCTCTGATGCAAAAGCATTTTCTTTGACCTCTTTTGAAGCGTAAAGCTTTTTATTGCGGCTGAATAAGGGTCTTACTTTTCTCCAAAGTGCCTTCTGGATCTGAATAACTAAGCGATTTTCTAAAGGTCCGTTAATGTAATGTTTTTCTGAAATGTTGTATCACGCTGGGCCTAACCTGCGATCAGGCGTTTTTTTTTTTTTTTTTCAAGGGCGTAGAGGGATAATAGGCAGAGGGCATGATCTCGGGCTACGCTGGGCCCAGCTCGTTAGTTTTCTTTGCAGAATGTTTAAAAATCATCACGGATAGTAAGTTACAGATCCAAAGTTATAAGATTCAAGTGCAGCTTAAACCGAAGCTCCATCAACTATGGAGAATTGCATTGTGACTCGGTAAACTCCAGCCTAGTGTTTTTCTAAAGATAGTGCGAGTCTTTTGACTGGAGCGCGTAGTTCCCCCCTTGGTAATAGCTTTTGAACAAGCTTAACAGTCTTTGGAGTATTTTTTTATTTCCACTTTGTGATCAAAACGCGTGCTACGTGCTGACCGAAAAGCCGATGTCAATCAGACCTGTCAACAGTCAGTGTTCTCGCCAATAAGAACTTGCATCAGGATCTGATGCACAGCGGGTGCCGTGGAATGGCGGTCTCAAATGTTTGTCTACAGGCCTTTTCGCTTTTCCCTCTCCCTAGTTCCCCGCTCGACCAAAAGCCTGTTCACAGGCTATCTTAGTATACAGTTTTGAGTTGTTGTTTTTCTTTTTCTGGATTCCCTTCAGAAACTATGGAGGATCTACGTGGAGCAAGCGTACAAACTCCTACAGCTGGTGGAGACTTCCCAAGGCCATCAAGGGAAATACGGCAGCGCGAAGCAAATTTAGAGAGGCAGCTGAGAGAGACACAGCAACGTGAAGAAAATNAATGTTGTATCACGCTGGGCCTAACCTGCGATCAGGCGTTTTTTTTTTTTTTCTTCAAGGGCGTAGAGGGATAATAGGCAGAGGGCATGATCTCGGGCTACGCTGGGCCCAGCTCGTTAGTTTTCTTTGCAGAATGTTTAAAAATCATCACGGATAGTAAGTTACAGATCCAAAGTTATAAGATTCAAGTGCAGCTTAAACCGAAGCTCCATCAACTATGGAGAATTGCATTGTGACTCGGTAAACTCCAGCCTAGTGTTTTTCTAAAGATAGTGCGAGTCTTTTGACTGGAGCGCGTAGTTCCCCCCTTGGTAATAGCTTTTGAACAAGCTTAACAGTCTTTGGAGTATTTTTTTATTTCCACTTTGTGATCAAAACGCGTGCTACGTGCTGACCGAAAAGCCGATGTCAATCAGACCTGTCAACAGTCAGTGTTCTCGCCAATAAGAACTTGCATCAGGATCTGATGCACAGCGGGTGCCGTGGAATGGCGGTCTCAAATGTTTGTCTACAGGCCTTTTCGCTTTTCCCTCTCCCTAGTTCCCCGCTCGACCAAAAGCCTGTTCACAGGCTATCTTAGTATACAGTTTTGAGTTGTTGTTTTTCTTTTTCTGGATTCCCTTCAGAAACTATGGAGGATCTACGTGGAGCAAGCGTACAAACTCCTACAGCTGGTGGAGACTTCCCAAGGCCATCAAGGGAAATACGGCAGCGCGAAGCAAATTTAGAGAGGCAGCTGAGAGAGACACAGCAACGTGAAGAAAATTTGCAAAGACAGCTGAGGGAGATGCGGCAACGTGAAGAAAACTTACAAAGGCAGCTGAGAGAGACACAGCAACGTGAAGGAAACTCACAAAGGCAGTTGAGGGAGATGCAGCAACGTGAAGAAAACTCACAAAGGCAGTTGAGGGAGATGCAGCAACGTGAAGAAAACTCACAAACGCATTTCAGGGAGATGCAGCAACGTGAAGAAAACTCACAAACGCAGTTGAGGGAGATGCAGCAACGTGAAGAAAACTCACAAACGCATTTGAGGGAGATGCAGCAACGTGAAGAAAACTCACAAAGACAGTTGAGGGAGACACAGCAACGTGAAGAAAACTCACAAAGGCAGTTGAGGGAGATGCAGCAACGTGAAGAAAACTCACAAAGGCAGTTGAGGGAGATGCAGCAACGTGAAGAAAACTCACAAACGCATTTGAGGGAGATGCAGCAACGTGAAGAAAACTCACAAAGGCAGCTGAGGGAGACACAGCAACGTGAAGAAAATTTGCAAAGACAGCTGAGACAACGGCTTGGAAACTAAAATTTGATAGCATTTTGTTTTGAATAAGGGTATGCGCATGATTTTCAGTTGAACATGCCTAGCGAGCGTAAAAATCGCATCCAGTCTGAGGATTAATGAGAGAGGGAAAATTTTATACATTTAGGCATGATAAAATTCAAGGGAACATTGGTACTTAAAAATAACATCTCATAGGCATGGAAAAAATGGGTTCATGCCCTCGAAGCCCAAAATTGACCCCAGCTAAACTTAGGTCCCAGATCTCTCGCCGGGTTGATAATTCATTCCCAGTTTCTGCTCCTCTTGTTTGGCATGCCGGGCATGCCGATGGTGAAGCCATTTGGTTTGGCATGCCCGGCATGCCAGGCAAGAAATTGGCATGCCCAGCGAGACTGATTTTGATTTTCGCTTCAGCATCATATCCTGCGAATCACATGTAATCGCCAAATATATCTTAAGGAGCTTGAAGTTACAGGTTTCATGCCTGGCAATAAATGCAGATTATAACAAAGAAAGTCATGTTTGTCACAATGTGTGTCACGGGATAGACTGGCAAAACTGAAGAGAGAAGCCTGGATTTATAAATAAAAAGCACAACAAAACAACATTATTCATGCATAAAATAGAATTCTTAACTTGCAATCAAAGATTAATCCTTTTATTTCAAACCGATACTGACATTTCTGGGTCCAGATTTAAATTTGATCGCGGAAAAGCGTCTTAAACAATAAGATAACAAATCTTCTCAGTATAAACTTATCCATGCTTAAGTTTTATCGCGTCGGAATGTTTCCCGGTCAACAGCATTAAAAGACTGGTGAAAATGAAGCTTACCAGGTCGTTCAAGTCAGTACGAGAGTACGAAGTTAATACTGCAAAGACGTTCTGATTTGGTGAATTTGGACTGCCTTCTCAGAGAGATTTTGCTTAGTTTTTCAGTGCGCTCCTTGTCGGCTATGCGAATCTCGCAAACTGTTTTACTCCTTGCTGACGATAGTCCTTTGAGCAACGTCATCTGCGTCATCCGAAGATACCCCGAGCACGCACGAAATCGGCCGAATTTCCGCAGAAGTGTTTTCGGATGACGAGGAATCTAGTTTGTTGTAGCGTGGCAGTTGTGGCGTCACGATGTCGTCATGTCTCTTCGCACTTGTTTGTCTTTTTTTTCTGCGGTGCATGGTTGAGATGTTGGTGAATGCTGGACAAGAAATGGATTCTGCGAGAGACTGTAAGTACAAATTTAGTATTAATTTGGTAAAGAAAAAGCCTGAATATCGAACAAATCCCGTGAATTATCCTTTTGGCATTCAGTTTATCTTGCTGTTGAGCATGCCTAAGAACTCCGGCATAAGTGGTTGTCAACTTGTTCACTTCGGATTGTTTCTGTTTGTATGTCTTGTAATCTTCTTCTGCTGCTAAGAAGACTAGAGAAAACTTCAAAAATAAGAAACCAAAGCTAAAAAAAGTCAGTTCTAATTTTATAGCTCGAGTATAATTATTTTTGGCACCTACGGTCATATTTTTCCACTGTACTGGTAAAGTTACTTATTTTTGCTGCATAGTTTGACTGTTGTTTGAAAGACAATCAAACGGATATTACAATCACTTTTGGAGACAAAATAAAATATCCGTAAATCAAATGCCAAAATCAGATTTGGATTTCGCTTTAAAAAAATGAACATGCTGCGCGTGTCAATGCAAAGTTGTAAACAACTCAATATAAGCAGTCTGTGAATGTGCGTTTAGGTCCACAAAACTAATTTTTCTTTTGGACATCTCATCCAAGCAAAGACTTAAGGCTTACATTGCTTGTCTACGAGTGTACTACAAAATGCTTTGCTACAGTAAGCCTCTGAGAGGCGATTCTGGTAAATTTATAGGACGCTAAAATGCAAATAATTCTAAGCTTAAACAACCTGGCTGGGTCCGACTTTTGAATTACAAAATGTTCAGGTTTGCCGGCTCTACTTTAAATGAACATGGTTTTTGAAATGATTTTGTAATATTTTAACCCGAAAATTATGATTGGGTTATAAAGCTTTTAAAACGGACGAAAACTAAGCTAATAAACATGTTCAATGTAAAAAACTAAGATTTAGTCGCTTTTTCAACTTTGCTTTGTGGGCCGAAAAATTTACCTTTACGCAAAAACAAAAGCAAATAATGAGGCTTTTATTGGACATATTTTCTGAGAATTTTATCTGATCAATTTAATGTCACTAGCATTGTTTTCGTATAGGAATTTTCCTAATTAAATGAGCTTTTAATTTAATAATTTTGATACTCTATAAACTTCTCATTTGATAGCCTCACTTTTTTATACACCGATTGAGAAACAAATTCGCTCTCGTTAAATCCTATTTTATGACCTATTTATTAGAACTCTAGGTAACATACGAAATGATGTAACCGGACAGGCTTTAACCTTTGGTCCTAATTTATTTTTTCTTCGCAACCCCTAATCAGTTGACGGGCCGTGAAAGAATATCGCCACAAAAAGATGCGAAAAAGTTTTCGCTGAGTTTCCTTTACATATTCCGGCTTTATATGGGTCTACACCCCAATTGCCTGCTTAAAAATGAAACTGTTGTTCAATTAAGTGTCAGTCAAACTCGGTATAATCTTGACTTGCAAATCCAAATGCAAAGGTTTATTTCGCAGTAGAAAAGCGTGTAAACATCATCGAACAGCGCAATGTAAATTGGCTAATGTGAAACCACGTTTCTTTCACTTTATTTACCATGTATTTATCTCAATTGCACACTCTTGTGAAATTAGCCTCAGACAATTAGTTGCGACCTTTAACAGACTCAACAAGCCAGTATGAAAATATGTTAAGAGAAGCTGAGCTCTACATGTTCTATTTCTTTTTTTCATATTGCCCTTGCATGTGTTAAGATTCCATTTCTTTTTTGTTACAGGTAACTTCCAGACATGACGAGGAGATAATTACTTTTCTAGAGAGCAATCCTTTGATACCGTCAGTTATTACTGTCTACTTTGAGTTAAAAACGAAGAACACAGACACTGGTAATGACAAAAAAACATTAATCCCTGGCAAGCCTACAAAACAAGAAAGAGGAACTCAGACTCCTTATCAAAATGTGAAACAAGATAAAAAGAGCTTTTCTAACGTAGGGAAAATTGCGTTCGAGAGATTTGTAATTGCAACGTTATATTCAAGCACATTGCATTGTCAAACATCATAATTTACTGAATAATGAACAGTGATTTTGGGGCTTAGCTCAGTTTGTAATGAACTTTGAAAGATATTCTATAACCTTGTATTTTTAAAAGCTCTTATGGAACATAGATGCATTTTATTATACAATGAAAATAGTCTCTGTCTCTCTTTTTACTGATTTCAGTCAATTCCAATTTATTCGCAATGTGAAATGGGAATCCTATTAAAGACTCATTAAAAGGGGTGAGGAGGTTTTACAATCCCCCAACAGGTCATCTCCACGATGACGCTGTTTTATTACTTCGGCAGAATCCCTCAGGGTTTTACTTTCTTGTGAAAATTAGAGCTTTTGTTATTTAAACTTCGCTGGGACAACCAAATCTATGAAAATGAAAGGAATAGCAATGACGTCATCGTGTAACCGTACATCAAAAGATAAGCACTGTGATCTGTTTATTTTTTTTTTAGCCAGGCTTAAAATATCTGTAGATTCAAGGAATTATAACCTGTGCGTTGAAACATGCCAGAGACCGATTTTGGCATGCCCGGCATGACCCAGATTATGGCACGCCCGGCATTCCAGAGAGTTTAGCATGCCGGGCATGTCAGAAAATTTGGCATGCCCGGCATGCCGGGGATTTTGCTGGGTATGAATTACTTATTACTAGAACCTAGGCTTCTCGCGGCCTGGGTGAGAAGGTCACAGAACCTCAAATTAAGCTTACAGGGCATGCGAAATTCTGTTGCATGCCAATTTCAATGCAAAACCACTCTGGGGCCACCCCCTCTATTACCAGTGAGCAAATCATTGACGATAGGCATGGGAAAAATCCTTGCATGCTAACCAACATTGAAAACGTAGCAGAAATGTCCTCAATTGCTGAGTCATGCCCTAGGGGAGGCTTTAAAATACAGAATTTCCTGACATGGATGAGGGAATTTTCCGTAAACAGCATGTGATCATGCCGGCTAGGACGTATTGCCTCCGTATTGCCCCTTTTTACAGCTAGCTAGGCTCATTTTTAGGTTCCATGGCCTGAAATGACGAAAAATTCATGCCCTAAATGTAAAAAGTCCAAAAACGTCCTCAAAATTTTAGTTTCCAAGCCGTTTAGAGAAAAAGATCAGGAAGTAAATGAGCTAGAGTTAAGTCTTTCCTTAGCTCAGCTAACAATAAGTGAACAGCAACAACAGGAAACATGCGATTGGCTCATTTCCCGCGATGAAATTCAAATGACCAATAAATGCCTTGGCAGCGGAGGCTGGGGAAGTGTTTATGAAGGCGTGTATTGTGGCTGTACTGTAGCGGTAAAGCAAATTCATGACCTGATTCTCTCCCCTCATAACATACTTCTTTTTGAGAGAGAAATGAATATTGCATCCAAGTGCCGCCATCCTCACTTGCTTCAGTTTATCGGCGCCACTAACGATGAAGGAAACCCTCTGTTTGTGACCGAGCTGATGGAGAAAAGTCTGCGAGCTCTGTTAGAACGGCAACATCTCGCCGAAATAGAAATACGCGTAATTTCTCTGGATGTAGCCCGAGCAATTAACTATCTTCATCAGAAGAAACCAGAGCCTATCATTCACCGGGATGTGAGCAGTGCGAATGTGTTGCTATGGCGACAGGGTGACCAATGGAGAGGCAAAGTTTCAGATTACGGCACTGCTAATTTCATGCAGCGGACCATGACAGTGGCTCCTGGAGCTATGATTTACAGCGCTCCTGAAGCGCTTACATCAAACCAAACAGTCAAGGTAAGTTTCTAATTAGTGAATTTAGATTTTTTTTTTATTCAGCACTGGTTCATCAACATCTTCAGACTTCAAAGAGACGCGTTGGTGCAGTCATCTTGAACGCGTAGCTTCTTCTTAAGGCCAGGTTGTTCTCAGCTAGGAAATACGAACAGATGAAAAATTTTTAGGGGTTAAAAATATGCCTGTATCTACCGTACTGTATCTACCTAAAATACGTTCAACAATGCTATGTTTAAGTGGTTTTGAACTATGTTATCGTTGGGTGCCCCTGTTAAACCATCACCATTTGAACTCAAATGTACATGGCTCCATTATTATGGTCCTTTTCAGGGGTTAGCTACAATGAGGGACAAAATTAAAGTGTTGAGACACTTCCGTAAAATGGCCCCTTTTTGCATAGTGGACATACCTATCCCCTTACCCTGTTTACCCTAGCCTGCGAACAACAGACGCATTTCCGGTCGTCACTTCTCTTCCTCCGAAAAATAGCGTCTGCGAACCCGAGCGGCAAAACGATTTCCGTGACGTAAAACCTTTTTAGCCAATCACGGTTTAGCTCTTAAAATCAAGGAAATAACTCGCGAGACTTCTCGCAAGATCGTGCGCTGTGGATATGTTTACAAGTCGAAATTGAAAGGAGGACGTAGCTTGTGTATAGCCGCCCTTTTTCCTCAGAACGACACGTTTACGAAAGTTAATTTGCCAGGATTGTGGGACTGATTGATGAAACAAGCATCAATAAGATTCATTTCGAAGAAAAGATTAGAGGACATTTTTTATCTATTTGCCTACTGAAAGTCAATGATTTATCACACCTAGTTGTTTTGATCATATTCGAAACGATAAATGTCCTAATGACAGTAGACGCATCATTCCGTTTGTTGCTTCTATTCCTTTCTGGTTCCTGGCAGGAAAGTATGCTTTGGAGAACTCTTCGACAGTTTGTCGTGTGCCGCGTTAGATATTTTTTAGTAGATATCCTTTATCTTTGAAGGCTAGGACGTGTGGTAATTGATTTCCCATGCGTGGTTACTTCTTGGTTCAGACAGAACTTTGATCAGATCGAAAGCTTTTATATTTGTTCTTATATTTCTTTAAATACATGTTCTTTTCAAGGTTTTAATTTCCACAGTTTTTGTGAGATAAGTCGAGGCGTCGTAGCTGAAATGTCATCTTGACTATGATCAATTTGCTGCTTTAACTACTTGCTTCACGCTGGGTCTGGCCCAGGTTTATAAAATTTAAGATTATAGTGTTGTGGCGATACTAGAATTATTAACGAGCGATTGTCAGAGATTTCTGAATCAGTCAAGGATGTGTCTGTATAATTGATTCACCACCTTTTGTCAGCGCTGGCTAAATTGAAATAAATGGGTCTGAGCGCGATATCATTAAGACCATTAAACGGCTATGTTACTTTCCTTTCGCTGTAGCGATTATTTTGTCCAGGTTTTGTTTATGTCACGTTCTACCGTATTTTATAAAGCGAAACAAAAGGCCCACATCACATACATAGCTTAAGAAGCAGTTGCTTCATAAAGAAGTCAACATTCAACGTCGCAGGAAATCTTGTTATGGTCGTAAAATCCACCGTTCCAAAGCGTATTTGGTAACTCTCGCCGAAATCCAAGACACTTCAGCTGTATTCTATCCTTTGATCTGATTGGCCAACATCAAAACAAAAGGTTTTACGTCACGGAAATCGTTTTGCCGCTCGGGTTCACAGACGCTATTTTTCGGAGGGAGAGAAGCGACGACCGGAAATGCGTCTGCTGCTCGCAGGCTATGTTTACCCCAACCCCTTTCCCCAAAATCGATGTTGTATTTTTGCCCTGAACAAAAGGCTTTCTTTTACTTCAGACAACATTGATTCGGAAGCACCTGTTTTAAACAAGCGTGTCAACTACTTTTGTCCCTGATTGTAGGTGTTTATGCCAAGAAAAGAAACTTAAGCTGCAGTTAATTTTTTTGGCGACTTCGTAGATAAAACTGATAGGGTCGGTTTTTTAAACAAAGTCCAACTTATGCCGCGGTTTAGGAAATCTTTGGACCTCCAGATCTCTTCCTGAGTGAGTTTTCTTAAGAAGATAAATGCTTTTCTTGTCCACATTATATGCTCTATTGAAACTGTTCACGTTAAATGGTGTTTACATAAAAGCGTTCGGCAAACTGAAAATGGTTTAAAACGCGTTTTTGTTAAACACTGGCTAAACTGCGTTTAGATAACTGGCCAATAGAGTCGAACCTTTCTTCAGCGACTTCCTTTTGAGAGAGAGTGACGTCCCTGCTTAAAAAGGTGACCATTGCAATAATTATATTCTCACCGGGGCCATCCGCAATCCGCAGTGTCTGTAATGCTAATAATATATGAGAGGCTCAGCCCGAGGCGGTAGGAGTGGGTTGCTCCTTTTTCGATAGCTACAATCACTGACAAAAGTTTTTGTACATTTGTCTTTAACGTGCGCTTTAATGAAAAATTTCTTGCAGTAAATCATACAACTCTAAATTCCAGCTCCTCCTGGGTATTCCAGTCAACAATGGTAATGCAACATTTGGGGCGGGGGATAAACAAGATTAATTACGGTGAAAAGAGTGAATCGGGAAGAGAAACTAACCTTAAGTAAGAAACCATGCACAATGCACAGAAACGTATTACAGGTGGATTTCCACTGTCGCTTAATACGCGCGTATAAAATAGAGGCATTATATGGAAGGTCACGCGTAAACGAAAACGAAGAACCTCGCTCAACGAGCGTATTTGAGAGATGTCCAATACTCACAAATAGACTCCATTGGTGTTAGTGGTGATAAGAAGGGTCTCCATTGGTACCAATGGTACGATTGGTACAAATGGAAAAGCATCCTATTCCAATGGTTTTATCGGTGAATATGCATCTCATTAAGGGGACTTAGATTATTTTCTCATGTGGTCTGGCTAGGTACAGGGCAATTCCAATGGTCCATCGGTAACAATGGTACGATTGGTACCAATGGAAAAGCATCCTATTCCAATGGTTCTATTGGTGAATATGCATCTCATTAAGGGGACTTAGATTATTTTCTGATGTGGTCTGGCTGGGTACAGGGCAATTCCAATGGTCCATCGGTAACAATGGTACGATTAGTACCAATGGAAAAGCATCCTATTCCAATGGTTCTATTGGTGATTATGCATCTCATTAAGGAGACTTAGATTATTTTCTCATGTGGTCTGGCTGGGTACAGGGCAATTCCAATGGTCCATTGGTACCAATGGTACGATTGGTACCAATGGAAAAGCACCCTATTCCAATGGTTCTATTGGTGA